GGTCTGTGGTTCTCCCCTAGGCCTGGTCCGGTGATATACGGATCTCCATATGATGCTCTGGGTATGATGTTCCTGATAGTGTGCCGCGCAGCATCCAGCAAACATCACCGCCGTTTGGCCTTATCACCGACGGAAGCCCCAACATGCAACACCTCCAAACAGAGGTTGTTCAGCAAGACGCCAAGAAGGATTCAAGAATGATTGAAAGGGAATGATTGGAACTGCCTTACTCTAGCGTGCCTACAGAGCGTTCGATTGGAGGCTACTGTAAGGCTTGGCGGCTAGCAATTCAGACCACTATTGAGATACTATTGGGACGCCAAGCCGCCCGAATCCGGAACCCCACAATACAACCTGGGTTCACCTAAGCACTCCTGGGGTTGAAAAGGGCGAGCTTGAACTTAAGAATATCCCTAAACCCTAAACCCTAAACCCTACTAAACCAAAAAATGTCTTAAGGAAGGCTTCAGGCCTTAAGGCCATGCCAGGCCTCAGTTGTGCCAGAACAGCAAGAGTGGTAGGATGATCGAAGCCTGGCAGTCCACGGGCTGGGCTCTGAAGGGTGCATTCGATGCCTGGAATCGAGTGCCCCGGTTTGGGCGTTTAGGGTTTAGGGTTTAGGGTTTACTGTAGGCTTGGAGACATGAGGTGTGGAACCGCGCTGAGGTCAGGGACTTTGTGTTGCCATGCCGCCACCGCTTTCACTTTTCAAAGAGGGCCGTACAGCGCAGGCCTTACGAAGAATTCTCCAACCGAAAGTAATCTCACATTTGCCGGCTAGCTGCGAGACTATCGACACCCTTCAGCTTACCTGCTCGCAAACCGCAACAAACGGATATCTCGACATCTTGGAACAAAACTTCGCACCTAGGGTCTGCTGGAGGCCGGCCAGGGCTTGCCGGAAGGCCACCACACCCTGTTCCAAAAAACAGCCAAGGTCAACGGGGTTTAGGGTTTAGGGTTTAGGGTTTAGGGATCTTGTGGAGAAATGTCTAACATCAGACCAGAGCAAGGCAACGTTTCATACTGTCTGTCACGCCTACCTTCTTGGGACTCGTGTCTTTCATTCTCGCTTCCAATGAAGCAGCATCTGCAAAACCGCGGCTCTACTGGCTGGTTCTCAGTAGGGAATGAGGGAATGCGAAAAAACACGATTCCTTGGTGCTTCTACTCCTCATCTATGATGTAAACTCGATCTATATACCGACCACCCTAACATCCGAGCCTCAGAATTCATTGACATTCCCGTACCATCACACATGGACGAGGGTGGGCCGTGTGAGAAGAAACGGAAGCCAGTCGCCGAGAGAGAGGCAAAGCAGTTTTCGGCTCACGGACAGCAATCTGCCAAATCGACGACTCAGCTAGTACTGTAGCACTCTGACATGAAACGTCCTTCCGCTTTTTGGAATTAGGAAGTGGCCAGCCCGCCCTGCACCCGGTGCCGCTTTGGGCAGCTCAGGGGGAGGTCAGGAGCAGCTCAGGGTGGTCCAATGCCCATCAACTTGAGGACGCCCGTGAAGGCAGCCAGCACGAGCATGCCCGGAAGCCAGATCGGTAGGCTGATGATCATGAACGGGATCATCATGTGAAAGAAGACCATGAAGCTGAGGAAGAAGAGCCCAGCGAAACCGTTCTCAACTTGCAAAAGCCCAGAACCTTCTGGGTCAGTGCCAGATCCCTCAGGCTCATCATCATCGTCGGTCTGCTCGGCTTCAGCTCCCTCAAGAAATTGCTGTGCGCCGGACATCACTTTGCCCCAGTAGGCATGCAGCAGTGCCTTGCTGCAGGCTTCTGTCATGGGTGAGGGTTGGCATGACGGCTCTGAGCTCAGTGCAGCCTCTATGTCTCCCGTCGTCTCTGCCAAGACTTCCCTCGGCATGCCTGGGAAACACTGGATCAAGAAGTCCTTGATGGTGCTCGGGTCAAGCGCCGTGTTCTCCTTGGAGACCTCCTCGATATACTCCACGAAGGAACGGAGAGAAACCGACCTACTTTGGCTGTTCATGAGGCCGTTCCTGTGCCAAGCCTCGTTGATGGTCAATGCCGCTTGTGCCAGGCTTGCCTTGGTGGCCTGCATCTCATGCCTGAACCGGGGCATGCCCCCGGGCTCCAAAAGAACCTGAGCATAGACGTTGAAGTCCTTCAAGGCCACAGTGAGCTTCGAGAACTCGAGGGCACCCCGGGTGGCCCAGGTGCTGCTGTTGAAGGCTTGGGCCTTCGCCAGCAGCCTCTTGGCGACCTTGGCGGCACCATTTGCCAGGTCCATGTCGCTCTTCAAGGCACATCTGAAACGGCCCTGGCTTTCGCACACTTGGCTAGGCCCACATCCGAGGACGTACATGGACCTGGAGCAAATGCCGGCCTGCTCAGCCTGCTCTTCAGTTTCAGAGGCTGTTGCTGCCAGGGAGCTGGGCACCTGGAGGTTGCTGACACGCCAGGCATGCACGGCAACGAGGTTCGAGAAGGCCACAAAGCAAGCCTTCAATCCCAAGGACATGCTTCAAAGGTGGATGTAGTCGCAAGCCACGGAGGAGGAGCAAACAAACGCAAAGCTCAGCTTGAGCCAGCGCCAGCATTCCCCAGGCAAGAATACGCCACAAGGTCAGATCTCTTTAAGGGATTATTTACGGCCCTCATTCCCTCGTTCCCTGCTAAGAACCAGGGGGTCTACTGCAACCTGCCTCCTCCTGGCGATTCGCTGTGGAAAGGGTCGCGGCCAAGTCCCGGCGAGCCTCCCCCCACTGTGGGCCCAGGGGATTCGAGCTTGACGGTTAGTTCAGGGCCTGGGTCCTAGGAGTCCAGGGTGTGCTTCAGGTTCGGGATTTGGGGGGATATTTCAGGAATGTGCATGTCGGGACTGCTTTTGGAACGCAAAATGTGGGCCACACGACATACCCCACTTAGCCACGATGAAACTGCGGCCTGTGATTTTATCCCAGGGGTGTATTTGCAAGGACGCTGCTGACAATACGCCTAGGCCCCAGAGATTACAATTGCCAGCGCGATGACTGAACATTAAGTTACGAACGATGAGGCTTCGTGTTCCACAAACAGAGTGATACCCCAAGCTCACCTGGAATATCAAGCCGTATCAAGAACCAAGAACCTTAAACCCTAAACCCCCAGACCCTGAACCCTAAACCCTAAACCCCCAGACCCTAAACCCCCCAAACTATCCCCAAAGCCAACAGCCAAACACTGGCACGCCTCCAAGGCCTCGGGGTGTGCTGCGCCGAGGAGTTGGTGCTTTCCCTTTGGAGCTCTGTAGGACTTTGGGTTAGGGTTTAGGGTTTAGGGCTTAGGGTTTAGGGTTAATTTAGAGGATTGGGGCAGCCTTCTAGAAAAAGGGGACCCGATCATTGTTGACGGTTGTGTTGGGGAGCTTCTAGAATTTCGGGGATTGGGGTTTAGGTTGGGTCTTTCCTCGTTTCAGCCGTAAGTCGCGCAATCACGGGTGCAACAAAAAAGAACACAGAACAAGCCCTACTAAATTTGACAGCCGCTGCTGGATTCGTGTGGGACCTGACGTGTGACCGAGTAATTACACAGTGCCCAATTACAGCAGTATACAATGTGTACATTATACAATATACAGCCAGCATACACTGTACACTGTAAGCACTATGACTATGATCCTGTTGGCCGCCAGTTTCAGAACTGTCTGTTCGCCAAGGCCAGGACTCCATGCCAGTGCCACTTCCACTATCGCCGGGAGAATTCTTGGAACGTTTCAAAAGTCAAGGCTCCACAGCCACTTAACACCACGGACCCAGCAACTGTTTCGGAGCCAAAGAACCTGGCTGGGTCCGCTCCTTTTTTCTTGTTTTTTTTAAAGAAAGCCTGGCCGAGAGGAACTAGAGGGCGCGAGACATTCTCCATTTCTGGTCAGTCTCTCGTGCTACTGTGCTCATGATTTGTAGTTTTAGTGGTCCACAGTTGCTCTCGTATCCCAAGGTGACGAGGGCTGTGACGAGGTGAGCTGCTACTTCAGTGTTGTCTGTGGTGGTATCTGCGGATACTGCCAGGGCCCTGCCCCATTGTGCCGTTGCTTTCCGGGTCTGCCTTTCTCCCTCCGGCTGCTCGTCTGCTTCGGCGGTAGCTGCCAGACGGCGGAATTGTCATGTTCTGGTTCTTCCGGGGGCGGGTATTCGCCCTCTTCTTCGCTGTCCTTGGGAGTGGGCGGAGGCTGCTGTGGTTTGGCTTTTGGCGGTGCTTGAACCTGCAGTTTGCAGTTGGTCCCAGGTGAGGCGTGTGGCAATTGCGGTTGGGTCCCCGGTTTCCTTGACCGGCTTTGGGGCGTTTAGGCTGCGGTGTGTTGGGCCCCGGCCGTTGTTGGCTACTTGTTTCTCCCGAACTGCTTCTCTCTCTCTCTCTGTATCTATTGCTCTCTCTCTCTCTCTCTCCCCCTCTCTCTCTCTCTTCACATTATAGGGCTCATGGTTCGTGGTTGATTGAATGTCATCCGCTAAAGGTCATGATTTACGGTGGCGCCATTATTCTTGTTGCCCTGACCCTGCACGTGTTTAATTGCGACAGGCCCAATCGGCCTCGGCAGCTTCACGGGCCAACAAGGAGGCTGCCTTGACATCCGCAATGAACTGACTGTGAAGGTGTGGAACATGGTTGGTTCAGTGACCCTCCTATCCTACCACTTGGGAAAAGTTGTCCCCTGCTCCCACTAAGATGGACCCGAAACCCTAAACCCTAAACCCTAAACCCCCGCTTCGCCTGTGCTGCAGCAGCATCTCCGAGCAGCCCACGGCTGGAGAGGGCGAGGCTCAGGTTCCTTGGATCCATCGAGAGTTCTACTGCCTCATGGGGTTTAGGGTTTAGGGTTTAGGGTTTAGGGTTTAGAGGTGTTTGAGCCGCACCAGCCTACAACACGTCGTAGTTGTAGTGCGACATATTTTTTCGGTTGAAACGGACGCAACCGAGCTATATCAAGATACATTAAGTCTCAGCTGTGTTTCAACTACCATCCGGCCCATATAGCTTTAGCAGCCTGTTGGCACCCATACAAGCGAGTGTGCACAAAGCGATTGATGCATGGAAGTGCTCCGCACACAGAGAGCAAAGCTCCGTGAAAGAGAAGTTCAGGGTGGGTGGGAGCCACGCTCGAGCTGGTGACGGCTAGGTACAATGTAGGCCACAGCCGTCTAGCTCAACACGCTTCTCTTGCACACGTACGTGTATCTCCACGTGGAGGATTGGAGCGTCGGGAGCTTAAGGCTGGGGGATGCTTTGGGTGGGCTCGGATTTCTGCGCCTCACTGCATCCTGGTTCGCTGGCTCGTCTTGAGCTGCTGTTCAAATTTGAATCTGCACCCGCTGAATTCCCAAACCCGGAACGCGAAATCCTCGTCAGCATCATGCACGAAAAGAAGCAAGCCAATATCCAAAACAGGAAGAAGGCCCTAATCCTCGCATGCGTCGGAGTAGCTGGAGGGCTGTGACCGCCAAAGGATGCCTTGGCCCGACCACCAGCTCCTGAGTGAATTTGACAGATTTTTGCAGGAGATTGTGCAAGTATTCCCTAAACCCTAAACTCTAAACCCTAAACCCTAAACCCCAAACCCTAATTGATAGTGTCGCCTGGAGGGTGGATTCGGGGCTCCAATTCGAGCTCTGATATAGGCTTCGTCTACGGACACAAAGCCCCCAAACCCCACGCAAGAAGCTGAGCTCAAATCCAGCCCCGCCAAGGCCAAGCGCAGCTCAGCCTCTGCTTCTTCAGTCCTGCGAGGGGCAGGACGAATTTTACGAAGGGTCTCATAGCTCTGCCATCAGCTTAGCTTTCATGCTTTTTGTGGTTTACAATTTTAAAGCTTGGGAGCTTCGATCATTCTACCGGGTTTACCTTTGGAGTGGCTTGCAAAGGTGTTCCCCGCTTGTTCATTTTAGACTGAAAAAGGGAGACTGGCAGAGGCCTTGAAGAACCCTTGGTGTAACGTGGAGGTATTGAAGTTTGAGGCAACGAACAACTCCCTCCTCTGAACTAAGTTTTTGAGTACCTTGATGAAGGCACGTTGGAGCCCAAAGGCGCCTTTGGCAACCTGATTGCGTGCTCTATCAGTAAGAGCCTCACTGGACTCACAGGGCTTGCACCTGTCCCAGACAAGCTCTTGATGGCCCGGAAGCCGCAACCCGAAGCCCACCAAAATTCCGAAAGCCCTGACACAAGCAACCAACCACAGCCAACACGAAGGCTCCTACCGCAGTTCCGCAAGGTCAACCCCAAATTGCACCGCGTCTTCAAAGTGTCCTGGTCAAGCGTTTGGGGATTCGTTTGGGGCTTTGAGAGAGTTGCGGAAAAGATTTGATTTATTGGGTGCGTAGGGCTTAGGACTCGAGAGCCTCTGGATGCGCCTGCGCTGCAAGTTGCCAGCCATGCCAAGACTGCTTGCGTTTGCTCACCAAGCCCTACAGCGGTCCACGTGGTGTGCGCCCAGCACGTGGCAGCGGGCTTCAAGGGCAACCTGCAACAAACTCAACAGAGCATGTGGACCGTGGGCTTGTGCTTGGAGACACATTTTCGCATGCTGGCATCTACGGCAAGGGCCAGGACATCACTGCCAGTCGGAGAAAGGGAAAAAGGGAGACAATGTCTAAACGACCATGGGCAAAAGATGCGCGGCGAGCCTCGTACAATTTCAATGCCTGGTCAAGCTCTCGGGTTTCTTCACAGATATGTTCAGGGAACTTCAAGGGTTTAATGCATGACCTCCTCTGAATCTGCTTTTTAAACCCTTTCTGGGTTCCAATCGACCACTGGACCCCATCGGCGGCCAAGATACCCCCCCCAATGGTCCCCCCCCCCCCCCCCCCCAAAACCTGACCGTTAACCCTAACCCTACACGAACCACACGGGGAGACCCGAAACCGAAACCTTCAACCCGATACCCTAAAGCCACCATGAACCATGGGGGTCAAAGTGAAGCCCACAAACCCTACAGCCTCACCCTAAACCCGAAACTCAAAACCTAAACCCCAAACCCACGATGAACCAGAGGGGGGGGGGAGGATATGCGCCCCCTTTGCATGCGCCCTCTGACCCATTGTGGCTTCTGGACATACGTTTCCGTGGCCCCATTATGAAACCCCGACTCCGCGGATACCCTGTGAACCCCCTGTGGAACCCCCATCTCTGTGGTCCAAACTGAGTCCAAACTGGACATACTCATCCCCCGATGCTGGTGGTGGTGGTGGTGGCGGTGGCGGTGGTGGTGGTGGTGGTGGTGCTAGTGCTGCTGCTGCTCCCGAACAGCACTGCTTCCACTAGCAGACCGATGCTGTGCATTGCAACTGCTCGAACCATCGTACCCTGCTGTGCTGCTCACTGATTCAACAGGAGAGCCAGGCTCTTCCCGACATGCCGCCCATGAAGCGCGAGTCTCACAGCTGTCTTGCAACGTAACGCCTCTTGCAAACTTCGCACCTGCGCATGCGCTCGTGCCCCATCGTTGTGTACTCCCAGCGCGACGTGCGGCTTTGCCACCTC